TCACACCAACTCAAACTCGGTTAAGAACATCTGAAACAAGAAGTTCACTTAAACTAGAGATGGTTTGATTTGTGTGGACAGACATGGTGAGAAGATCACCATGTATGGGAACACTCAGTTACTTTGCTCTTTGTATCTCTCTGTGTCTAAGTGATTTTCTGGCTGCCGCACACAGATTCCTGAGCTTTTAAGCAAAAACTAGGAGTACCTAGGATTTATAAGTGCACTTAATGTTACTTGGTAAAACTTACCTGAAAATGAACATAGACACACCAACTACACTGCTCAAAAAATAAAGGGAACACTAAAATAACACATCCTAGATTTGAATGAATGAAATAATCTCATTAAATACTCCTTTCTTTACATAGTTGAATGTGCTGACAACAACACTGACGACATTTATCAACCCATGGAGGTCTAGATTTGGAGTCACACTCAAAATCAAAGTGGAAAACCACACTACAGGCCGATCCAACTTTGATGTAATGTCCTTAAAACAAGTCAAAATGAGGCTCAGTAGTGTGTGTGGCCTCCACGTGCCTGTATGACCTCCCTACAACGCCTGGGCATGCTCCTGATGAGGTGGCGGATGGTCTCCTGAGGAATCTCCTCCCAGACCTGGACTGAAGCATCTGTGGTGCAACGTGGCGTTGGTGGATGGAGCGAGACATGATGTCCCAGATGTGCTCAATTGGATTCAGGTCTGGGGACCGGGGCGGGCCGGTCCATAGCATCAATGCCTTCCTCTTGCAGGAACTGCTGACACACTCCAGCCACATGAGGTCTGGCATTGTCTTGCATTAGGAGGAACCCAGGGCCAAACGCACCAGCATATGGTCTCACAAGGGGTCTGAGGTGTTGGGCTGTAAGCACAACCCCCACCTGTGGACATCGGGCCCTCATACCACCCTCATGGAGTCTGTTTCTGACCGTTTGAGCAGACACATGCACATTTGTGGCCTGCTGGAGGTCATTTTGCAGGGCTCTGGCAGTGCTCCTCCTGCTCCTTCTTGCACAAAGGCGGAGGTAGCGGTCCTGCTGCTGGGTTGTTGCCCTCCTACGGCCTCCTCCACGTCTCCTGATGTTCTGGCCTGTCTCCTGGTAGCGCCTCCGTGCTCTGGACACTACGCTGACAGACACAGCAAACCTTCTTGCCACAGCTCGCATTGATGTGCCATCCTGGATGATCTGCACTACCTGAGCCACTTGTGTGGGTTATAGACTCCGTCTCATGCTACCACTAGAGTGAAAGCACCGCCAGCATTCAAAAGTGACCAAAACATCAGCCAGGAAGCATAGGAACTGAGAAGTGGTCTGTGGTCACCACCTGCAGAACCACTCCTTTATTGGGGGTTTCTTGCTAATTGCCTATAATTTCCACCTGTTGTCTGTTCCATTTGCACAACAGCATGTGAAATTGATTGTCAATCAGTGTTGCTTCCTAAGTGGACAGTTTGATTTCACAGGAGTGTGATTGACTTGGAGTTACATTGTGTTGTTTAAGTGTTCCCTTTCTTTTTTTGAGCAGTGTAAATCTTTTTATGACTTTTTTAGCATGAAAGAAGGAGAGGAAAGATAAAACAATCTCATGTAAGACAAATTACATTTATCTCTTTGAAATCTCACAAGGGCTGTTGTGCAGTTTCTAGACATAACTTTTCATGTATATATCTATAAGGTCTCACCCTAACAGTGCCCTGGGGCTTTTCTTATAAACAAGCAAAAGTTATGTTTACATTACCCGTGTTGAGTAAATTTTCTCCCTCATAAAACATTTGCAAAGCAATATTTTCTTAAATGTTTGAATTGTTTTTTATCCATGTTTACTAGCTTGCAGTGGAATGTGAAAACAGTGGCAGGATTGTGTTTTGCGTCAACCGTGCGCACGTGTGCCCTCGTGCATGTGAATGAGACAAACAAAACATCAATCCACTCTTTTACAATCGTTCACAGAAACCTTTAAATATTGCCAAGAACAAATCCTCTGGTGCACATCAGCGATTTCACATATACAGATGCACCAAAAGCAGTTTGTTTGGAATAAATTAAGGAGGTACAAGAAATATAAGGGCAGCAGTCTGCATTTAAAGCTATACTAAACCTTAAAAAAACGTTGCTGTTTGCCACATCAGTTATAAGCGGCTGACAGCCCCTGCAGAGGGCACCACTCTCACTCACAGACTCTTACTCTTGGTAAGCCATTGCACTTGTCTTTTAGATTTGGTCTTGCCAGCTATGTATCAGTGCTTAGAAGGCGTGGACGTTGCCTACATCTTATTTGAATCATAGAAGTGCATCTTGTATACCCAATCTGCGGGATTTGATATTTCAAAGAGGGCAGATTCAACAGATATTACTTTTAAATCACATCGCTAATGGCCAGCAGCTGTATCTGCAAATGGTTACTTACAAAGTATCCCATTTATCCCGATGAGCTGGGCTATGATTTAAAAAGCATTCCCTAAAAAAAGCTTTAATAAACAATAAGTATCCTCTCATCCTCAGTGGGTGTTTTGCCAGAATCCACCCACGCTGTGTGACATTTGGGATTTGTTATCTGAATTTTTCCTCTCCGCTACTGTCAGCATCTGGCAGCGCTGAGTGAGACTGTTCATTTTCCAACAATCAGCACAAGTTTGTTTCAAACATTGCTGAAGAGAATAGTCTGCTGTGAAGCAATGAAGTCGTTCATGACACATGTAAGGAGCCGCCAAGTCACACAGGGGAGAGGAAAGGTTATTGCAGCACTTATTGTATTGTACAGGTATTAATTAGTAGCTTAAGAATACTTTCAAATATAATAGGTGAGCATCTTTCTACTCATTCATAAAAGACATTGATAAAATTAATGTAGTGAGAACATTTCAAGGAAGAAAGCAACTTTTCCTCTGCTAGCTCAGAGTGAGGCTGAACAAAGTCAATCTTGATTTATAAGGAGGAAAACTAATTAGAGAAATAGAGGTTGTAATATAATTACTCAAAATGAATTTCTCCTAGAAATGTGACTATAAAGTGTGTTATTAAATAACTCATTACAACCCATCATTAGTGAGAACTCAGCAAAACTGTGTCTACCACCAACTAACTGCTCATTTTATACTGTGTGTAACAGAACATGGGCGAGCTTCTTCTTTTTTTCATTTATAATATGAGGCTTCAACTAAACCAGTATTCATTTAAGTTTGAATGATGCCACTTACCTTGAGACAGTTAAACAAACATAGGCATGCAAGTGTTTTAGAAGTGTGTTTTGGAGGGGTGTTGGTTAGCTCACCTGCTACACATGCACACCATAAACACAAAGTCCTCAGTGTAGCGGCCCGGGTTTGATTTCACCCCTCTCTCCCACATTCCTGGTCTCTCCTCTTCTAGTCTATCAAATAAAGGCAAAAAGATTGTTGTTTTGGAAAAACAACAATATTTTCACTCAGCTGGTAAGGTGAAACTGATTTACAGAAATGAGCCTATATGCTGATACATACACAGGCTTCATTAATGTAAGTATAGTGTAGGTACATATATTGAGTAATATAAAAAAAAATCCTCACTCGTGCCGCTCAAAACGTCACTGCTTATTTACTATATATATATTATGAATGATCCAGTGCAAGGGGCCATGCATAGTAAAGTTATACTTCTGTCTTCTAATTTTTTTCTTATTTGTAAGCGTTGCACTAAATGTTTCCTGGAGAAGCACTGCAGTGTTTTCTGCCTTCACTGACTTTTCCATGTCACAAGACTGACGTAATATTTACATGAGGTTGCCAGATTAAAGCCATGTATTTCCGTCCGTGCACTGACACACCATCTCTTCACTCATGATTGTCAGCCAGAAATTTGACTCATAAAATCTCTGTATAATGAAATGGTATTAGTTCAACATTTTGGGAAAATTTGTTTATTCGCTTTTTTTCTGAGAGTGACGAGAAGTGTAGGACATGGTTAGCTTAGCTTAGCATAAATACTACAGTCAAGGGGAAACAGCTCGCCTGGGTCTGTAAAAGGTCAAAAACATACCTGCTCACAACTCTAAAGCTGTCTCACTTGATGTACCCAAACATAAAAGAAATGTTAAAATGGCCATTTGTGATTTTATGAGATTTTAGAGTTAGGTGTTGGTTTATTTCTTAGCAAACCACAGTTTTTCCATCTGCTCAGAAATTCTGTGTGGCTTCTCCAGCCATATTAGTGCTGTTGCCAGATAAAGTGAGCACAAGTTTTGGTTTTGCTCTTTTTGTAGGCATGATGGTACCAAATTTGGCTGAGTAAACAGTGTAAAAACCCCATTTCAAGCCATTCTGGGCAAAACAAGTTCATGTACCAAGGTCTACATTAAAAAAAAGTTTTACTTATTTCTGCAGTTATAATACAGCAGCATTGCTAGTGTTTCTCTATTTCTATTTGCAAACGTTATTACTGTACAAATGCATACAATACATTAGTTAGCAGTACATCAACTCTGCTTCAATTTTACATACAGACCTTTTATTACCGCAGTTTGATTAGCCTGCCTAGCATACCAGATGGTGATATTGCTGTGTTAGAAAGTCAATATTGGACACTTTTATGTGATGTTTTATGGTTACTTCTGCTTGCTGAGTTCTGCATATTAACTTCAAGACATTAGCCTGTGACTCAAAGATAAAAACTCAGTTTCCTTTAAGAAATATAGTTTACTTGTTATAGTGAATAGCTGGGTTTTGTATCACATTTTGCTAGCACCGCTCTAATGTTTTTCCATGCTTTTCAACACATCTCGAAGTGGACGGAGTGTTGAACACATTTTGCCATTTGCGTAGCTTTTACTACTGAAATGATAATAGATGTGAAGATCCTGTAAGTATTTGGAAGATAAGTTTTTTGTTGTTTGACTTTGTTTTGTTAGTTGGTAGTCTGCCTACCCGGGAGCATTTTTACAGGACGCTAAGCAATATATTTACAAAGAAAATTGTCTTTCATAGTCACCCTTTCATATTTCCTAACTTATCTTTTTTTAGGGAGCTAAAGACCAGGATTGAAAAAGAAGACACCAAGAGAGAGTTGTTGGGCAATCAGACCAGCCTGACTGAGTCGTACTGTATTCGATGTCTCCAGCCCTTCAAGTTCCTGGTCAACAGCAAGCGTCAGTGTCTGGACTGCCAGCTCTACATCTGCAAATCCTGTAGTCGTTACAACAAGAGGGAGCATGGCTGGGTGTGTGATCCCTGTCGCATGGCCAGGTAGGAAATAATTAATGAGCAGTTTTTGAAAGTGATGGCAGCATCGTGGCCAAAAGCTGAAAATCTTGCCAATATTTCTCTTCAGTTCACCTGAATTTAATTTTATTTATATAGTGCAAATACACAACTAAAGTTTACTCATTGCACTTTTCATATAGAGCATCTAGACCTTGTTCTTTGTAATATAATTTACAGAGACCCAATAATTCCCATCATGAGCAAGTACTTGGCGACAGTGGCACATGCCTCCACTGGTTGGGGGGGCAACGCAATATCTGCACAGAAATGCAAATCAACAGTAAAGGTGGAAAATGAATAACAATTAATAACAATTAACAATTTCTAATAATGATAGCAATAGTAGTGATAATAATAGGACTAATGATAATAATAATAATAATAATAATAGTAGCAGCAGGTGAAGATTGCCACCAACCACAGATCCAGATTTCACAGCTCCAGAACCAGAAACACCTGCACAAAGCGACAGAAGGAGAGAGGAGAGGGATAGGAAGGCACAAAACTACAGGAGAGGGAAGATGGAGAAAGAAAGGAGAAGAGAAGAGCTCAGTGCATCATGGGAAGTCTTGCACCTGTCTAGGCCCATAGCAGTATATAAGGGATGGTTCAGGACTCACCTAAGCCAGCTCTAACTATGAGCTTTATCAAAGAGCAAAGTCTTAAGGCTACTGTCTGCCTTTCCAGAACCCAAACTCTTGCTGAGACCCACTCAGATCCTCTCTGGAAATCTGCATGTTTGCTTTATCAACAGGTGTTGCCAAATTTGAATTGTTTGGCTCTGCCAAGATGGCAGCCCAAGAGCTACCAAACATTGCTTATAGATATGTCACACATTCTACATACAGCACACATCAGCACCTTTTTGGCTTGGGAGCCAAATTTTTGTCACCACAGATATTTAAAGACCTTTCTTTGCTCTGTGATCTGATTTAGCCTGGACCAGCGATTTGATTTCCTGCAACAAAAGCACCATATCCACCCTCATACAACTATCAGCTTGCAAAGGGTGCTAAAGGGTGCCAGTGCCAGCACAGCAAATTCCCTTCTCCTTCATCTTTCAGAGATCGCACAGATGAATAAGTCACTTACCCAGTCAAATGTTTTGCTAGCTTGGTAGCTTACCATGCATCACAGGAAGGTTTGCTTACTTCACTACAATTGCACTCAATGCCAGGTCATGCCACATAATCCGACTTCATGCAACCCCATTAATGTATCTGGCAACTTCATGGTTCAAGGTTGGGAAAGGACGCCCCAACTCATTTATTTTTAAAAATACTGAATGTTCACTGTATGATGAAACAGCTTGGCCTAGTTCCCAAGTATTTTTCACAACAAATCTTCTTCCCTTTTACTATATTCAAAGGTTGTTTAAAATACTATGAGACCACGCTGTTTGGTAGAGGATTCGCATCCATTGCCCCTAATTCTGATGTAAAGCTATAGATGGAAGTTTGAAATCAGTCAGTTATAAACGAAAATAACAGCAAGGTACAGTTCAGGTCAGAAGGTAAGTGGATTTTTGCTTTAAAGTTCCACTAAAGATGTTTTTGAATGCGGACATGTTGGTTTGAGTTTATGGTTTGAATACCCAGATGATCAGGACTAAACTCATTGAATAAGTGCTTTTTCTTTGAGTGTACTTACAGTTATCAACACATTTGTAAGCTTTGCAGAAGCTAGTGGACAAATACTTTGGTTTGACTTGGCAGCATGTGCAGTATGTGAGTTATGTGTTTTTGAAACAGCCCAAACACGATCAGTCTAGGTGACATGAATAACAAATATTAGCTACAGAAAACTAAGAATGAATAGATTCAGCGAAGAGCTTTCCTGCTCCCTGTGGATGTTAAAATTTCATTCCATTAATTATCTTGATAAGAGCAACCTCTACTCTGTGAGCAGGGTTCGGTGTCTTACTCACGCATGCTTTGACAGCACACACAGCATTTGATGGATGTTTTGGCAAGTGTCATTTCAACAGACACAGCTAAGATCTCCTTTACTCCAACCAAGCTATGTTGGTTGCAACAATGGAATTTAATTCAACCAGCTCATTCCGGCTCCATATGTAACCATTGTACTAGTGTTCAGACGTGGCCGAGGACTGAAAAGCCCTTTCACTGAACTCGGGTAGCCAGCGTCTGGAAAATATCATGCTATGCATTGCACGCTTAAAGCTGCACATTTTAAGCAGGAGCTCCACAATTTTGTTTGTTCACCAGAGCAGTCAATCATTTCGTACTCTTGCTTTGTGCAACACAAGAAGTATATTCAGTCCATGATGATTGAATGAGTATTTTCTGAAATTATAGGAGACTTATCTGTGTATGAAGTCATTAGTACCTATTTTGTCTCCTCCATTCTTGCACAGGGTCCTCAAGATTGGTACTTTGGAGTGGTACCACGAAAATGTTCGGGCCCGCTTTAAGCGCTTCGGCAGTGCCAAGGTGATGCGATCGCTCTTCAAGAGGTTGAGTGGAGAACACAGTTGCTCTCAGAATGACCTTGAAGGTGAGTAGTCTCATTTTGTTTTCAAGATTCCTTTGTGGGTGGTTTTTTGTTGAGATAATAAATGTGAGGATTTGTTACTAAATTGGTTTTTGAAGGGTTTTAGAGGTTTGCCAAAGATAATGCTTGCTGTGAAAAATTGATTTTAATACTTGTGCCTGGAATGTTTTAATCCATGATCCACTTGAAAATTTGTATGTGGTAAGTAAAAGAGTAACACCCCTTTACTGAACAAATACTGTCGCTGAGGCCTTTCAGCATAGAGATTAACTCCGCATCGGTTGACTGAAGCTGCTGCACGGTCATGAGTTAAAAATTGCAGTCATGTAAACTGTGGGAATGTCTGTGTGAATGTGAAGCAGAACTAATCAAAGGTTACAAATGTGGTAGAATGTCAGGTCCCAGGTCAAGATTACTTTAAAGGGGCATCCATAACACATTTCAATCTGTTCCACTCATTGCTTTACAAGCCCTCGGGAGGTGCTGCAGGTCAGAAGTTGAGTCCACCAGAGTCAAAGAGCACTGCTGGAAGTCTGCTTGAGCTTACCATAAGAAATCCCCAATAAATGAAAGGCTTCAAGGAGATTCAACAGCTGCATACTGTACTGGAACTGCATAGAAAATATGTACAGCATCAGCCTTTTGAATCACACTCCAGAATTGTAAAATTGGTAAAACATCACAATGACAACTGCATCACATGTGTGCATTCCGTCACTTTTCACTTTCAAGTTGAACTTGGTAATGCATGTGAAGACAGCCCACATTATACCAGTTTACAATAAAATGCAGGTTATTCAAGTTCATGCAAGCAGCACGGACATTATCGATTATTATCTTCACAGTCACTAAATCTCTACCCAAAGGAACACCTATGGGAGATAACACAGTGCTCCCCACCATCATAAAAAGCACTATATTAGGGAATATCATTTGAAAGAATGGTGTTCAACACTCCATACACTTTGAGAAGCTATAACAAGGAGCACTGAAGCTGCCCTGTCAGTTACTGGCAGCCTAACACTTTACTAAGACACTTCTATTGCTGCTTTTCTTTAATTTGTCACCCACCTGTCCATGAGACCTTCATTTTTGTGACACTGTGTCACAGATAAAAAGATAGGCTTTCAAATAGCAGGCAGCCATCAGCAGGCTGCCAAATCTGTCACGGGGATTTAATTTCTTCCATCTTTCATTTTTTCTATCTGGCTCCTCACAGCTGCGAGGCTGAGCGCTGTCACAGACTAGTGTTTCGGGCCTGGATACAGCCAGGTCCTCCATTGTCAGGTTTTTGTCCTTAACTGACCAGTGCTTGGAAACTTTTAACATTTACACTGCCTGATGTACCTCTTGAGACATTATTACCAGAAATAATAATGTGGTGAAAGGTCCTGTTTATGTTTGTTGCTCATGTTTAAAGTCTGATGCAGTGACAGCATAAGTCTTCATCAAAGTCTTTCCAGCACTTTCTGCTCTCTCTTTTTTTAAGTTGCTCTCAAAGCATTGCCAATATCCTCTGGCCACACCCAGAGCATATAAAACAAGTGCCCTTGAAGCACACTGTAAATTATTTTTTAGCCATATTATACACAGAAGGTCTCCAAGTAAGATCATAGCATCAGGAGATCAACGAATTATGAGGAGACAGCCGGGACTCCTGGTACAGCTTACGCTGAGTCACCCTCAAGGATTTTGGGAAGGGATACAAAGTGAGTTGGTTGGCTGGATTAGCCCTGAGGGCCTTATGATCTTCCAGTCACATGTCCCCCTTTCTGTGCCTGGAATTGAAGGAGCCATTCCCTCAGAGTTCCCCTGCACAGTTTGACCAGAAGCAGAGAGAGGGAGCGAGAACTAAACTATTGTTTGTGAAGTATTTGTGTGGAATCCAGCTCGCAGAGGGTGCCCAGATGCAGGTTGTAGTTATGAAACCCAGTCATAAATATGCATGTTAACAGATGCATTATGCTTAAAGTGATCAGCAGCTCATCGCATGGAGACATTCCTGGAAGGAAGTCAACATGCATGACTGTACACACACAAACACACACACACACACTCTCTTTTGCTCTCTTTTTACTGTGGTCCATTGGGCCCTCAAAGCTCAGAGGGTGTCATGTGCGCATGGGGAGATGTGACAATCATGCTTACAACAGAGCCTTTGTTCATATAATGTTTTATATATAAAATTTTAAAAAAGGAGTTACTTCACTCAAGTAGTTGGCCAACCCCAGCTCCTAAATGTAATTGTACTACTGCTGCTTCTTATTATTTTATCTGGAAAGTAAGGACTACCTGAATACTGCCAATTTGCGGAGCTGTTTATTACAGTTACAGATAGCCAAAATAGTGTGAATTAGGAGCTAGGGATCGAACTGATAACCCTTTCATCAGTGGGCAACAAGCTATACCTTCTGACCCACAGCCAAAATCATGGGTTAATTATTTAATTTCATTCTTAATAATTTCATTAAGAAATTGGATTTGTGTGGGAATATGCATTAAACAACTTTAAGGTGGGCCCTTCATTACCTGTTTCATTGTTGTGGCAAGAGGCCCTTCATATTCCTAAATAAATTTGTGTTTCACCAGATTTCCACAAATATGGATCAGCTCACACATTCCTTTCACCCGTCAGAGGCTTAATCCAGCCATGTGTGTGGTCTTCCTTACATCCATTCTGGAGTCACATATTAACTAGTAGGCTGCCTAGTTTCCAATAAAATGGTGGTTACTGTAAACACAAACACTATAATTTACATCAGGGAAATTTATCTCAGTATTGAATGTTCTCATTAGACTATTAAAATGCTTCATTTAGACCTTGCCATTTCGAATGTCTCGTACAGTGAGTCCAGTAGCTTGGGAACAGACCAAAAGGTTGTGGTTAGACTGGCACAGTCAGGGCTCTCCTGGCTTTTATTCACATTGGCATATCGAGACTAGAAGAGCAAAGCCAGGGAAGTTTTAGTCAGGGTGGGTCTTTCAAGGTTTAAAACAAAAACTGTTTGCGGCAACTATTACTTTAGTATATCATTATCATCATAGCGCTATTAGTTGTAATAATGGTAGTTTTTAGTGTGTTTTGTATCCATCTGTACATTTTTCTGCAAATCAGTGAAATCTAGAAAACTGAGTGATGTTGGAAATTATAGAGAAGTAGAGCAGTCACTCTTCACAGTTGTTTACTAGAATGTGCATGGGCCTAAACTGTTCTGTTCATTCTTGAACTTTTGCTTCTCTTGTTGTTCCTAGCCCCCACCCCCACCCCTTCCTCTTTCAGTGAACTGTTACGTAGAAATGCAACCCACTCATAAACACTCTCACAAAGAGGGGGGGTACACATGACAGTTTGCTCTTCCAGGTAGAAGTAAAAAAGTTTTTCTGCTAGATGTACAGTGTGTATCTTGCTGTAAAAGTAAAGGCCACTTAAGAGTTATCTAGGGTTAAGAGTTATCTAGCTGGTTTGAGAGAGGTGCACTGTTTGGGTGGTGAACTCTGTTTGCATGTGACTCTTAGGTTTGCTCACATGGGAGATTCACAAATGCACAGAGACATGCCAGATCTGATTTGTGCACTGCATTAGTTTCCAGAAAACATAGTCTTCATTGTGCAGTATATTGCCATGCAGTTATTCTAGCTTTAGGTTAACGTTAACATGTCTGCCTTCTTAATCTGCAGATGGATATGAGGAGCACAGTATGGACGCAACAGATTCACAGCACTACGAAGGGGTAAGGCAGTGCATTTTTTAATAACTTCATCTTATGGTTGGAGAACTAATGCATGTTGTTCTTTCCCATGCTTGTGCTTTCTTATGAACTGCTTAATCTTTGTTTGCTTGTTGATACCATTAAATAAATTGGCATTTTGCAGATAGGCAGGCCTCCTTAACTTTAATGCGTTTATGGCCAGCAGAAAGCATTCCAGTGTTATGCATCATAAAACAAAAAGTATCAATTTGTACCCAGACAGCAGAACATGAGTAGTTCTGGTGTTTTTCACTGCTGATTTATGCTGAGGCCTCGACAAGTGGAAACCCACAATCAGTACCTGGTTCACTTCAGTTCTGTTGATTTGCTACCCACACCTAACATGTTTCCTGTTTCTTAAATAAAAGATGTTTCCATGAGGGGAATCATCTGCAAAACAGAGAATTTCATTCAAGTTTAAGTCATCATTTTGCATGCATATGTTTAAAAAAAAAGAAAAAAGAAAAAAAACATTTTTAAGGAACTGCTGCGATCAGCGGGGATCTCTGGTCCTTTCTCTGTTAAAAAGCAGAGGTGTTTTCTGCATGGGCCAGCTCTCACGAACAACTGGGAATGCTTTGACAGCATATGACGATTAAGGTTAGGCACAGTCCAACTGCACTGGCAGTGGTGTATTATGGGTAAATACCAGGCTGTCATACATAATCGCACACATAAAAGGGTCCGAGCAGAGCTGAAAGAGGCTCTGGTTCAAGTCCTGAGATTGTAAAAAAGGGGCACGGAGTCCACTGGAATTCGTCATAAAACCAAAACTACTATTGTTTATACCACAGTCTCTGTGTAATGAGGGAGCTAAGCTTTGTTTATTTTCAATCACTCCGGCGGCTGCTGAGCAGGAAAAAAATGTTGACAGGACTCTGGGGCTCCGTAGGGTCTTTGGATGTTTTGTCTTTGTTTTCGCTGTGACTACTGATTAAGATTGTATTTACATCTTACATGATTTGACTTTTGATGGCTGTTACAAAAAGACAAACTACAAAGCCAAACGGTGCTCCATGCATCCCTTCTTTTCATTTTCACTTAGACAGAGTGCCATCTACTGTTCCAAATAGAGTACTGCCTCATTGGTCCTTGTAAGAAATAGTCCTGTAGTTTCACCTACAGGAAGTTATAGTTTAACTACAGGATAGTTTTTGGAGCCTGTATGGATTCTTGCTCAAGGATTGTTGAGTATAGTGAGTCTTCTGTCAACAACACAGGGCTTGAACCTTGGTCCCTGTCTTTCTAAACTACATGGCCAAATAGCATAGCAGCCCCAAGTTGTGCCTCTTGTGTAATAACATTACATTTAAGTCACACTACCTAGCATCTGTTTTTCACAAAAATACACATACCTAGCGATCTAGGTATATGTATGACAGCAGTTACTGCTGTCTTAAGTTTTTTTCTTTTCAGAATCCTCAAAGACACTTTATACCATCTGGGTCTAAAATATCTGCTGTACGGTTTAAAAAAAAAAACATTTTTTTGAGTTACACCCTTTTTTCTAATCCAAACAAAGATGGAAGCCAGCAACATGCTCAATTTCTATGATGTGAACCAAAATTTAAAAAACTCTTTTAGTATTTATTTTTATTGTGGAACTAATAGAATATGGTGATGGTCTTTGAGGACTCTAGCAATACTTGGAAGACAGCAATAAGTGGTGTTCAGAATCAGAATCAGAATTAGAATCAGAAAGAGCTTTATTGCCAAGTAGTGTAATTTGTTTTGGTGATAAGGTGCTACACGTAGACAAACATACAGCTGACATAAATAAATGTAGAAATATATAAATATGGAATAGACAATGCAAGTTATATAAGAATATTAAAGTGAATAGAGAAATAATACAACTATTTGCAGAACATGTGCATTATTCTGGGTTTGTGTAGTGCAGACGGATTGCAACAAATGTTAATCATCCTTCTGGATTTTTTAAGGATCACCAGGTATGTTTTTAAATGTAATGGTAATACATGAGAGAAACAAACTAGGGCCAATGTTTTCCAAAAGAAATGATTAGCATGAATCATTTCTTGTTGATAATATGATTTGATAATATAAAATGCCCCCCATGCACTAAAAGTCTAAAATTGGTTACATGGTGCTTGATTTTTGTTAATCTCATGTCAGGCTTTGAAGAAAACAGTATGTCAATGTGAGATGTCTTGCAGTGGTGAGGATTTCTTTTGTACTGAATCATTCCTCTCCTGGGGTCTATACTTTTACCTTTCTTATGTCCTTACGCTCTCCTGTCTGTTGGTGATGGTGTTTCCCTCTCTGCTCTCCAAAGATGAAAAAGGCCAAAAGGCGGCTAACTGTCGACCCCTTTGAATTTGAGCTGGGCTATGACTACTCTGTCGAATCAAGAAGACGGTCAAATCAGGTAAAGGCTGGAGAAACTCTGAGAACCAGCTTTTCCACAAACCCAACTAATCTCCAAGCCTTCATACAAGGGGCCTTCTGTCTGTTTCTTCTTCAACTGTTTTCTATCTTTGCCAAATACTGTCTGGTTTGGCAAAACAATATTACATTAGTGTTGAGCACTGTCATTATTCATTCTCGTATCTGGCCACAATACACTTATTGTGTAAATCCAAATGTGCATGCTAGTGAGCACAGACACTAACACATCTTGTCAGCTCATTAACAAAATGCTCTGACATGACAGCGCTTCACCAAATGTAAAGAGACTCGAGGGCATGAAACCGACTCACAATTTCTGTATCATTTGGGAATCACAAGAGACTCTTTATTCTCTATTGTTCTCTTTTGTTTAAATCTGATGAAGTGTGAAAGCCAAGTGTTGTAGAGGAGTTGTTGCAGTACTGGTCAGAACAACATACCAAACACCAACACACCAAACAAGAATTAAGGGGCCCGGCATCACCCCAGTTGCTATTTAATAAATGTAGATAGACTTGGTCAAAACACACAGCCCATTGTACTTCATTAACTTTGTTTGATTATACATAATTTCGATTATTAATGTTATTTGTATGCAGAGTGTAAATAAGAACATGTCCCACCATTAACGATAATTTTACTATACTTCCAATCTGTTCACTAATCACATGTGTAAATGCAATAAACAATTTTATTGGTTCTCATATAAATAAAATAAAATGTGTTATTATTTCTTACCTTCATGTTATTTAATCATGCCTTTTTGCCAACTCCAATGCCTTCACCCACCTTCTTCCTGTGATGCTAACTTTCTAGCAAAGCCTGAAACATTAGCTCCTTTGTACCGATGAACAATTTGTCACAGTAGCACTCACCGCTCTCCATCCCCATTTGTAGGCCCCAGTCTCCCAGGACATCATGGACATGGATGTAGGTGTGAGGGAGTCAATGCTTGCTGAGGCTGATATGGCGTCTGTTTTCAGCCAGATTTTGGAGGACCAACACAAAGGTCTGGACCTGGGAATGGCTCCACAGCAAGGTAAAGAAAGGATTACACACGTCTCAAGTCACGTAAATGGTTTCAGCGAACTCCATGGAAGTACATAGGGATATGAATGGCCAGCTCACATGTACAGCATGTACACAAGGAACCCCTGTCTGCAGTGGTAGAAACAATTAACCTACTTATGAAAGCTAAAAGGGCCAACTAGCTCTGCCGCTCTCAAAAAATTGACAGAACAGCAGTTTACTTCTCTACATCAAATCTAGCCACAATTCCACATTGTATGTATTTTTTGTCTCTAATTCTTAAACTAACATTACACATAATTTCTGTCCACCAACATTTCCTTGTTATCAGCACCTGTTGATGTGCCAGATCATACCAATGCTTGGTTTTCTATATTAGTATATTAGCCTGTTGGCTAGTTAGATAGCTAGCTAACAACATTCGTTTAGGCTAACAGACTCAGCTATTCAACCAAGAGATACGGACTGCCATGATTGGTCTGCACTAACTGATCATATATTTTTTCTAGATGACCTTGCGTACCCAGACAACCACACTATTCCATCTCGCTCCAACTCCCGGCTCAGCTACTCCTCATGCGGCAGTGGTCGTGTTTGGGGCCCCCGGGGCAGCAGGGGCCCTGATGATTTAGAGGATGAGGATGACCACTGCCAGCCCTACCCTCTCTACCAGTCTCATCTGGGCCCCCGCAGCCACACCTCCCAGGAGAGCTTGAACTCCCCGAACCCTCCACCGCAGGTCTTTGAAATGATTATTAATATCTTTCAGTCATCATATAAAATCCTCATTACATTACATTTGTCAGACGCTTTGATCCCCCAAACTATCAATACTACTGATATTAAATCTTGTTTTGAATATCGGTGCTATCATAGGATAGATAGATAGGATTGATGCCAAATTAATTTATCCATGTCTGAATACATGAACACTTTGCTTTTCTGCCACTGTTGTGTGCATGATTGCAGCAAAGACCTCCATAGTTACACAGTAAACTTTTGTTATTTGCCATTAGAAGTTGCCTTGTGTTTGGTTTTAACATGCATGTGATTAAACAGTTAATAGTAAAATGAAATGTCCATGTTTGGCAAAATTATTTGGTGCCAATTAAAAGCCTATTAGTTATGTATTCAGCTCATACATCATGACCCGTTTTTCTTCTCTACATAATAGTGCATTAGCGGCAAGTATAAATATCTGTATTGATAATGGTGATTGGGTCCCTGGCATTACTTGGTATAGGTCAAAATCAATTTTGTGCTATCAGTCACTCATATTCTGCACCTGTTAACACATACACATGACATTCATAGCTCACAATGTTCAACTTCTATACAAAATCACCACTGAGAAAACATTCTCTCTGATATCAATCAACTTTATTGATGTTTACACAACCCATATGGCTTTTCATGATGGATTATAAAAGTTTAATGGTTTTAGATTTTCCTTGGCATAGTTTAAAAGTCTCTAAAAGAAGAACACTTTTTTTCCCCACACTTTTGCTTTACTGTGAAGTACAGAGTATGAGGTGGGGGACTCCAGTCTGTTTCAGGGAAGGCTCAATGAGTGGAAGTAAAAAATATATAACTTTAGTCAACAAAAAGAGATCACATTAGCCTACATGTGTAATTTGGTTATAGAGAGAGTTCAGAGATACAGTAGTTTTGGAAAAGTTTTCCCCAACTTTATCTGTCAGAAACTAATAAATGCCTTGGGACAGACCTTTTTTTAATGTTTTTAGTGTTGTCTGAAGTTATGTCTATCAGCAATATTAGGCTTTCTTGGCTCAGTTGTTGAGCGTCTGTGGGATAAAATTACATAATCATGATCCCATAGGCATCCTGAAATTGAGTGAAACCAAAAGCAAGTAAACTAAAAGAGGTAAAGGGAGCGCCTTTTACTAAGTTTTGCCTGAGGGGAGGCCCACAGTCTCAGATTTTTAAAAACCCTTGTGTGGTAAAAGGACAGTGAGAAAAATGCTACTAGCAACATTTGAACACATGATAGGCTACAGCTCCGAACTCACTGCAACGTGGCGGGTTGGAAGGAATTTGCTTCATTAAAATGAGCAATAATGGGCAAAGTAAGACCAAAAACCAGACTCTTAGAATTAGAAGCATAATCTTGCCCTGTTTGTGTTGTAAGAAAGAGGAATCATTTGGCATAAAACTCTAGCAGCTCTTGTTGAAACTCTGATACACACATGCACACACAATTTTATCAGGTTGACACGTCGAGTGATGTGGGGGAGGCAGCTGCTAGATCAGAGGACGGTTACATACATTACATCAGTGTCTATTTATGTGTTAGCATGCAGTCCCTGGAAAGGATCACAACAACTGTTGCTGTTCTGTTCATGGGAAGCAGATACAAAACTGTGTTTACCATTAGTTTGGCTGACACTGAGAAGGCTGTTTTTTTTTACTGCTCTCAGACATCAATGAGTCTACATGTGTCCTCATGGGCCATTTTGAGAGCATGTGTTTATAAGTTGATTCAGACACACTGTGGAACTTAATGGTTAATCACTGAGGTAAAATCCGAATCGAAAGATGTTCTTTGTACTTATGAGAGATAAGGAATAGGAAAACAAAAGAAGGTTTTAAACTCTGTAGCGGAAGGAAGCCATGACAACAAAGGGCTGGTGTTATCAGTCCCACCTGGCTGTGCCGATTACCACCTTCGATATCTTGTGTCATGGCAAATTTGTCTCACAGCTGGGCAACACACTGGGAGACACAAACAGGATACTGCAGAAAACATGCAGTCCAAACATGTCAGACAGCCGTGACGTTTCTCATTGGCTGCGAGGTCCAAGCTTACTCAGACGCCAGTTACTCACCCTGCATACGGGTGTCGCTTCCTGTCAGTTTCATTCGGATTTGAAAAACACTGAAGAGGCCGAGCGAGGTTCAAAGTCAGGAGTTCATCATCAATTTGATGATGTTTGTGGAACAAGATCTCAGGATGAGTAAACAAGCACAGAGGCTGGATTGGCCCAGGGCATGTAGGGGCTTAAATAGTGTCGAGCAAAGTTAATATGTTTACAGGTTTGATATACAGACGAATGACAAGTTTAAGGAAAAATATAAATAAATGAGTGGAGAAACCTAACAAATGCGAGGGCTCATAATGACATGAATCATACACTCTTATGCATTCATAGTCACAGATCTCAACTGAGCACCTACTTGAAATTTTGGACTATTATGTTGTGTCTGCACAGGAGGCGTTTCAGCCGCGTTTTTCAGTCATTCATCTCACACGCGTCAGATTGGCTTCTACTTTAATCAAAACAGCTGTCTACACTCTTTCTACTTTAACTATTCATGAAAATATCAGCAACAATCAAAGAAAATCATTGCTTTCTGTCAGCTAAAAAAGCGATTACCATTCAGATCTGTCAGTGTGGTTTGTTCAGATTTGATAAACAGTGGCCTGGCAACATAAGTTAACAGCCCGACAACTGACATTAAATTTTGATTTATGTAATTTGGCTAAAGTGTCAGTACGTGACATTACCTTATCCAGCTGGGCCACACCCACTTTAAACCAGTGAGACGATAACGGAGAAAAAATCACTCATGGTAAGAAGTTGATTATGTTAATTAAATAGTTTTTCATGGCCTTTAAATATGCAACAAGTAAATGTCCAAGTTGAACATTAAAATAAAGGTTGAAGGAACTGAATTGCTGTGTACTGCCCCCAGCACTGTCAACAAACAAATCATTATGTTTAGCTGGATACCGAGTCATGGAATGAAGGGGTTTGATAGGCAGGATTTGGACATAGTCTAAGAGGAACAGTCGTCTGATGACTGTCTGCTTTACTTGTGAATATAACTCGTTCTGCACCCAGAGAAAACAATAGTATTAGATTATAAGAATGGAGGAGGATTTCTTTTATATACATGTGAAAAAGAAACACAATATCATATGCAGTAAAATCTCTAAAGATTTGAACCTATATGTTTTTCTCTGCTTCTGGACCGAAGAGAGGACCCTCTCAGCTGTCGTAAAATCAGATTTGGAGATGAGCTGACTTGCCTCATAGATCAGACTCTGTTGAGACGTTGTGAAAGAACAGCATGGATTTTATCAAGAGGGGAATAAATTGAAGGCCATCTGTATTTGAAAGACATATTTCTGTGCCAATTTGTCATTTGATTGGTTTATTCTGAGTGAAATTGATAGCATATGACACACTGTTACTTAGAGGGTAATTTCAACAGTACTATATATTAGAAGTACTGTACATCTTGTTTTGAAATAAGTAATAACCATATGTACATGGTAAACTTTCTCAATTTCTCCAATGTGTGTTCCTTAATACAATAAATTTTCTACGCTTCTGATATATTATCTTGTCTTCAACATCTGACTGTAGCCTCCCGGACTCTCTTTGTCTTTATCTAGATCACTGACCTGAACAGACGCATGTCAGCCATTGAGACCTTCTTGAACCACTTAGAGGAGAAGGTCACCTCAACATACGACCAGGTAAATCCCTTAAATATCACACCACAATTACTAACACATCCTTCTCCTCCTCCTCCTCCTCCTCCTCCTCCTCCTCCTCTTCCTCGTCATCATCATCAAACCCCAGCCAAGGTGTTGTAGAAGGAGACTTTGGAAATAGAGAGCCTAAGTCCCTCCCTTCTGGTGGACCACCATGGGACCTTACTTTGGAAGGAATATGTACTGTAAGAAACAACAATTTTTTGATCCTGGTTGAATTGTGCTCTGAATTTCACATATGATGATGGTCAATTTAAAATATACATTTAAAAGTCAAGAAAGTCACAGTTTGACGTAAAACTGTTGAAGTATAAGACTGTGAAAATACATAATTACAAAGACCACAAACACAAAAGTCGCATATGTGACATCGTAACTTTTTCTCTCAATGACTGAAGCTAACGTTACTGAGTCTTTGGCTCAAACTCATCAGCTGCGATATATTTCTGCGTGGAGCATAGCTAAGTTATCCAGCTAGCAGAAAACCAATCAATGAATGTTAGCTAGCATTACTGCGTTAACATGTTGGTGACAGATATTGTATGAGACGAGAGATCTAGTTCATTGAGCGGTTGAACTATATGTAACTTTACTGATTTACGGCAAACTGCAACTTTCTTGACAGACAAAATTATCTTTTAAATTGACAAACATCATATTTGTAATTTAGGGCACAGTTCAAACGGGATAAAAAAAATACATTGTCTCTCGCCATTGACTACCGTACAAATTTCTTCCAAAATAAAGTCCCATTTAAAAAGCTGGCAAGAACATGTTACCATGTATACAGGACTAGTGTTCTTCGGCTGATCATATATAACATAAAGTAGAAATAAACATACTAATGATAGGTGATTGAGCAACAAACATTAAGAAATGCAGGAATGCATGTATACAGTCCTGTCACATTCCTCTGACAGGACTTGCACCCTCCTGCAGCTGTTGCTGATTAAAGTCTGTGAGGTTTGAGGGGGAAATGTTCTGGGTATACTGTCTGAGTTGCATGTTTTTCAAACTGTTTTTCATCTAACAGTGTGAAGTGCTCCGGTAAACACAAGGGGTAACTTTTCTTGCATATTTAATGAACAATCATATAACGTAAAACTTTAACAAAAGCACAAATGGTAAACAGAAATTTTTAAATAACCAATACATAAGAGAGGCATTGTGCTTACTCTCACCCCTCCCAGGTATGCTAGCTATCAATGTTCTAATCCTACTTTGCTCAGTTGCTCAGTTTTACAAAAGCCAAAAAATGCTAAATAATATACTTACAGACAGAAAGTGTCCAAAGCAACATTCAGGAAAAAAAACTGCAGCAGGAGAAGGCACCATCACTCCTCCTTCCACCATGCTTAATTGAATTTTCATGAATGCTGACATTGTCTGACAGCGTCTGCTAGATGTATAAATAGATCAATGCAGCTTTAAGGGCCTTCTTTCCCAAAGATAGCGGCCAACGGTTGCTGGTAGAGATGTTTATTTATTTGATCAAATGTTTTTTTTAACCTATCCTTCTAAATAATTATGTATTTTATTTGCCGCTGATTGTTCAGGCATACTGAAAATGAAGAGAGGCACACAGTTTCTTACAGTCATCCTCCTCTCGTCAACAGTGATGTCTCATGTGGCTCTGGTGTCGGTTTTTAATCAGAGAATGAGTCAACTCACAAAAATAGCAAATCGTAAACGAACACAGAACTTCAGCTCGCCTGTCTATTCTGCTTCAAATGAGGGCAATGGTTGATAGACTCATGCTTTTCCTCTTTCTTCTGGGAAACCACAACTTGCATACAGCACATGTTGTGCCAATTTGGTCAGAGCAGAGCCTGCACGCAACACGTCTGTGTTCATTTACATCTGATTAGTTTAATAACCTGGACAGTCCTCATGCTTTCACGTGTCAATGTACTGTATAAACCATCTGTTTGTCTTCTAGACCTGCTTGTTCCTATTTAAGATCACAGAACACAGGGCAAACACAGCTGGACAAGTCAACACTTTATCACTGTTGGTCACATGATGGAAACTGACCGTTGGCAAAGCCCCACACCACTTAGTGTTGCTACGTCTGTTAAGCTTTCCATTCTCAAACTGGGCATACAGTGGCAAATTCACCAATTAAAAAACTGAAGCATTTGTTGGAATAAAGGGACTTCTCGTGTTAGCCAATGAATATAGATTCTATAATCTGAAATGGCAGTTGTTGCTAGGATGTTTTATCAGGTGTAGCTAATTAGCTCTGCGGTCACCGTTAATAAGTTGAAAATTCCATCTCCAGCTGGCATTTAAGTACTTTCTGCAGACTTAAATATGCACACAATGGATACATGCATGACATCATGCTAAAAGGCCGAGGCTAAAACTACATGTCCCAGGCAAAAAGTCAGCATCCTCTTCAGTTGATGATCCATATAAAAGACACGCAGGAGCTCCATTGTTCTTGCATGGCAGGGTTAGCCCTACATTACATTAAGCTGACGCTTTTATCCAAAGCGACTTACAATTGCTATACATGTCAGAGGTCGCACGCCTCTGGAGCAACTAGGGGTCAAGTGTCTCGCTCAGGGACACAATGGTGGATGTCTCACAGTGGGAAATGAACCCAGGTCTCCCACACCAAAGGCAAGCATCTTATCTATGCGCCGCCACCACCACCACTGCCCTAGTGTTAGAGGACAGCATTGTTAATAAAAATAAAATGCCAGTGTTATTCATAAGGTGACAATATTGGGATGGTTACCATTTAAAAACATACTCGGACAAACAACACATAGCTTAAAGGTATGTTTTATTGGCACTATTTTGTGTTTCACATGTTTAACAGATGCATCTTAGGTAGTGTTTGGCTGGTGTTGTTGGAGTGTAAACCATTGTCGTATGAATTGAGTGTGAATTTTTCTAACATCATCTGTAATCCCACAAAGTAATGTAGTGAGTAAATGATATGCTCCTTGGCTTTGGAAGTAGCGTTAATGCTGTAGGTATGAGGCAGGTTTGCAGCTTAGGTAAGCAAGCAGATTTAGCCACATATTCTACACTCTGTCCCTACAGACCAACCAGGATCCTCTGACTCCAAACAGCCCCTCTCCTCTTCCTCAGTTTGAGGAAGTCGACCTAGAGGAGCAGCAACTGAGACAGAAGCTGCTCGAGATGACGGACAACATTAGTGACCATAGCCTAACCTCTGATGAGGACGAGCCCAACAGGCCACACTCCTCCCAAGAGATCCCAGCATGGAAGAGTCCAGATGGGGATGTCAGGCCAACCAGACTGCCTACCAGACCCACATCCAGAGCAAGCATCATTGTCTCCAGACTTGAGGAGGAGCAGCCTCAGCTGACTGACTCTCAGAAGGTAGAGAAACCTGTGGCAGAATTAAATGAGCAAAACATTAGCACAGGAAAATACAGTTCTGTGATCACAAACCTGCGATGGACTGGCGACCTGTCCAGGGTGTACCCTGCCTTTTACCCGATGTCAGCTGGGATTGGCTCCAGCCCCCCGCCTGTACGCAGGATAAGCAGTTGACGATGGATGGATGGATGGTGATCACAAACAAAGTCAAAGTCAGCTTTATTGTCAATCAATTTCTCCACATGTATCAGACATACATAGGAATCGAAGCATTCTTACTTGGATTAACGCTTCATTTAATGCCAGAAAGTTCATCAGACTCTTACATACTACTCTTACATACTGCACATCTGGATTGTTTCACACTCAGTACTTTAAAGCCTGCCTCGTGAAACTCCATACCACCTCTGCTGGAATCCAGTTCAAGCACATAATGTAGTCATAAATCAAGTCACTCAGCCTTAGTGTTTGTTTTTCCTTTGCAACCATCTCTCCCAGTTTCTGACACACAGAACTGACCAGAACAAGAACTTCTTAGTTGTTGTGCTAAGTTGCCTCAACTGTTTCCACTGGCATTTCTATCTCTTTAAAGTAACAACGCTACAGTGAGTAAATATATAGACCTGATCAAACTGCATGCCTTCTCTTAAGGATTTAAAACTACTAAGACATGTACTGAGTGGGACATTTTACAGTTGAATAAAACACTCTCACTGTGCTCTTTAGTGTACAAACTATGTAATGGAGAGACTAAAGGACTTCCAACATGTCTGAAAATTATTGCTACTCATCAGCTAAAATATACACCAATAACAATGTATGTGCAATAAGCTAACATTAACTGATTGATTGGCTTGGAAGAATTTTAACATAGGACACAAGCAGTTTGTTCCAGTTTTACATGCTAATGAAAGCTGCACAAAATAAACCATGTCAGTGTTCCACTCAGAAAACGTCCGATCTGAGAAGCGAAGCCAACACGGAAGTCCCTTAAACCTGCATTCTATCGAATGGCCAGCAGGGGGCCGTGAAGCAGCGTAGGCTTCAGGGCGGGACTATCTGTGATTGACAAGTCGTTACCATGGTGAACTGTCAATCATCCAGAGTGACTCGTACCCACGTCACTGTAGAAATTTTACCAGCGCTGTTGAAAAAGCTTATTAGGAGTTGGCTGTTCGCTTTCTCTAGTGAGTACATTTAGTTTTAAGCCGGTTGTTCGCTAGACAAAATTATCATCCCAGTTAAAATTACAGTTAACGTGAATTGACACTTCGCTAGCTAACTTCCTACTGAATGTAACGAAAAAAAGCCCTGCTGTTCTGCTTTTTAATGATATAATAATAGATGTAATAATGAATAGAGGCCTACCAGCTTTACAGGAACAGTGGTGATCGTTCATATCGTTGTCTTTGGTCTCAATCGTTGGGGGTTGCGGTGGTTCACTTGTGCTGTGTGATCAGTAGGCTTTAGCTTCTATCTTTCATTTTTTTCACGTCCGTTTGAGTCACTTTGAGTCCAAACGACAGCCTGAATACAACCTTCAAATGTATAATGCAACTGCAAAACTGTCTGCTTCTTTGTGAGATCGCTTTTTCCAACAAATATGACAATATTTCTCCAGGGAGTGCAGTAATAGACAGCGGCAGCACCGACAGTTTGTCAGACTTAGCAACAGTAACTAAAGGGGGCGGGTCTTAGCGAAGGGTCAATTACAGAAACACGTCGCTAAGCAAGCTAGCTAGCTCAACACGGAGCTGTTGGCTCCACAGTCTCTTACGAATATGGTCACATCCAGTGCCGCTGGCTGCAAAAAAATCAACACGGCGGCGCCATAACGGCCAAACTCGAGGCTTCGAAACGGCAATCCACAATCCAACGGGTGACGTAACGATGACAACGTCCATTTCTTTCATATAATCTATGGCTGCGCTCTGTTCAAGTTTTCAAGTTGTATGAAATTAACATCCCTTTCAGTAATTTACCCTTTAAAAACATTTTATTCTTGAATGAATGACTGAATGAATAAATTCAATACTTATTGGGTGTTATGAGATTTTAATTCTCTAATAAAGGATTAAAGATTATTGTGTTGTCAATTTACCCAGCCCCCACACAAAAAAAGCGCGTGATCTATTTTGATGTGAAAAACAAATTAACATTTTTTAAATGTTTTCATTTCTTCACACATCCCGAGCAGACTAACCATTCAACAGAGAGCCTGGAGAGGAAGTGGCACCCCCTAGAGGAAGGATCCAAGGGAGGCTTCAAAGGCTCTGCAGCATTACTGGTTGAGCTGGAGGACCAGGTAGCTCAAGCAGCTGCCAACGTCCAGAACGCCCAGAGTGAGGTAAGGAAAACCCTTCAGCTTAGTTGGAATATTAGATTTGTTTTGAGGCGACAGAAACAGTTAAAGTGTTCAGAGTCACTTTCTCTCTTTTTATCCCAAGGTCTCGTACATAGAGGACAGGATTGCTGCCCTGAACGCTGCTGGCATGCCAATGGATAGAAGAAGAAGGGTAAAGACATTTAACTAAATGTTTTTATTTGCAAGCCAGAGTTTCAGAGTCAGAGCTGCGTAAAAGATGATGATTATATGATATCACATGTTTGCTTGTATAAAATACTTTTCATATAATATAAAATTAACAAGTGCACACTGGAGCTCTTTAGCAGATACTGGTAGACTTTATAGTCTTGGATACGACTCTCAGTTCTGTGGCGCCGCCCTCTTAGCTTCAAATCAACCAATAAGATAATTTCTTTCTCCTCAGCAGGTCTGTCTCTGATAAATGTTTCTACACTCCAAGTGTCAAAAAGGCTGATGGGTCATATATTTTCCTCCAGTGTATCTTTTTTACTTTTCTGCCTTTCTGTGTTTCCCGCATCTGTGCCTTCTAGTCTGCAATCCCGATCCAAGCAAGAAGGCTTTCCCACAACTTTCCCACAAGTAAGAACCCACACTGCTGCCCTTCAGCATGATCCCCAGGGCCTCCCGACTGACTCAAAACATCTAAGCTCAGAGAACATGATGATCTATTTTGTGTGCTCATGCACACTCTGTCCTATTGTACAGCTTCAGTTTTCCCAGCTGTGTGTCAGATACTCAAATTCACTACATGCAGATTTCCCTCAGGACTATTGTGCTATAAATGGTAGAATATTCTGAGGCAAAATAGTGGTTATACAAAACATTTTCAGGGTATGAAGATATTTTTAACCTTACAGTAGGTATTTTACACAGGTAGTACTATACCTTGCTCATTGCCTTCTTGCCAGTAGTTGTTAAGAGGGGGCTGAATGCTTCAAATATCACTTCCCCAATGATACTTAAATGATAATTTCAGTATTTTTAAAACTGGGCCCTATATTTTGGTGTCAAAATGACTATTGCAGGAAAACAGGAAAACATTGCAGCCACTACAGACGGTAGCCATCTGCTGCACGGATACCAAAATTTTCTGTTCCTATTAGTCATTTTGATACTACAATATGAAATATGGGGCCCGAAATGATCTTATAATAACATTATTGTTATTCTCCTCCTTCTGTAATTTCTAAACTTCCACTGGCCCTAAATACACTTCCAGCTTTTAGATATTTAATAAAATTACAAAGGAAACTATAACCTGACTTTACTGTACATTTAAAAAAGAGAGCCAGTATAACATGGATCTACAATGCAGTTGCTGTATGTTTCCAGGCCAGGCGGACAGGTTTGTGAGGAACTCCCTCTACAGGGGCTCTCTGACACAGAGGAACCCAGTGGCCAAGCCTAAGACCAGGGCTACCAGTGCGGTATGACTCCACTCTACAGTGCTGGGTGCAGTGAAGAGTTCACTTCCAATATTATATTGCTGTCATTTGGAAAAAAGCCTCATCTACACTGACACAATTATTTATAGCAAAAACATTTAAACGTGTTCTTGCAGATTTTTTCCCAAATAGATCTGTTGTTGGAAATGGACTCTTCATTTACTGGTTACACTGGCCTTTGACTTTTTCTACTGGTGGATCACCTGGTTTACAATCTGGCTTTGTGGTGGTTTGAAGTAATTGTGTTTTCTTTTCTTTTTGCTTCATTTGTTTCAATCAAATACAAATTCTGTGCGACTCTTGCTTTTTTGAGAATGTATGCTCAATGTACCAACTTTATTTACTTATTCAAGCTAATTTTAAGTTGTTTGTTTGTAATTTTCTTAATTCTTTTATAGAAATAAGGACCAGATCTTTTTCTGAGTACTCGTATTTATTAATTATTTTTTTACTTTTAGATAAACACTGGAACTAACTACTAAGCATTCTTGGGTCTTTAGTTTTGCCTGAATTTAAATGAAGCAGTGCCTGGATCCTGCCAAAAGAACTCAGAGCCGTAACTAACTGAATTAGAGAAGGGGGGGGAAAAAACTATCAGAATATATGAGAAGTAAGTTTACTGTGACCTTAAATACCCAAATGTGTTTTCTACTCATGAGGATTTAAAACACATGCTTGCATCTCACAGAGCTGTCTGAGGGGGTGTCACTGTTAGACTGCCAAGACTTCTGAAATGAAAGTACTTAACATTAATGATAAGGATTTGGAAGACAACCATGCCATATACTATTCAGGTGTGTCTGAAAAAATCCAAATGCAACAAGATAGGCTCACCCTCCATCTACACGCTAGTGATATTTCAAGATGAAACAATGAGAAAAAGTTGTTGAATTGTGATTATTTAGTGCTAATTACCCCTTTCACGTGTTGTCAATTTCCTGTTTCTTTTCTTCCGCCTGAGTAATCATTCACAACCCTCAAATCTCACATGATGGTTCATAAGCCATCAACAGGTTTATAAAGCCTAGCATAGACATTCTAGACCTGTTGTAGTTCTTCTTTTTGTGTCTCAGTTGCTGTGACTGCTTTCATGGATAACACTGAATGTATTAACCTGATCAAAGCATGAAAGATTGATTATCTAATAATAAATCAAACAGCCAATCATTGTCTGTTTCTCTCTGTTCTTGCAGAAACCAGTAATGACACAGGGTTCATGAGGAGGAGGCTGAGCATTATGTGACTGGCGAGTTTTCCATGTGATGACATTTATTATTACAGTTTGTGATAAACTGAAATTTTGCTGGAATGAAATTCCCGTTTAAATTTCAGAGACGGTCAACTAGAATGGGAGTGCTTACATTTATATTTACCAATATTTTTTTGTGATATTGTTGTGATATTTTACTGGGCTAGATCCATACTATATTTTAAGCATATGTTGGAGTTACACATGATATGCATTACCTTTGCTAGGCCTGTATCTTATACTTAATATTTGCATACATTAACATGCAAGTGAATGAATTCACCTTAATGTGAAAAAAATTGCAGTTTCCATGGTAATCTGAAATCTGTAGTTATTTATTCCAATGTTCACACGGTACGAATGAAGCATGACAGAAAATCAAAACATTTTCTTTCGCTTGTAGTGCAGTAACAAACTATGAATGAACTACTAAAATAAAATAAATTTTAATCATAGCAAGTGCACCAAGTCTTATATGGTTAGTTAAAGGTCTTGTGAATGAATCAGATATAGACATCTGCACACATTCCCTGACAACGTGCATGTTATTTATAAAACGGTACAGCTACATAATCAAATTGCATTTGAAAATGCTACAATTGAAACTAGTGGTTAATTTGTAAAGTGACACGTCTCATATAATTTAATGTAGTCTATCTTGCGTTTCGCAGAAACATGAACTATTTGCCATGTTCACCGCGTTCAGTGAACGCCAATGATGTCACATCACGTAAACACTTATTGTTGTTAAACCGTAGTAGATGATAAAGGAAATGCCCAATGTTTGATCTGAAGATGGTTTAATGATTTTCTTTGAATGCATACACATACAGACGGGAGACAAAGTAAAGGAAAAACCTAAATTAAAGAAACACACAAATGCAGCTGCTTCAATGCAGGGTCACTGAATGGTTTGATGAGATTGACAATGATGTAAATCCCATCCTATGGCCTTTTCAGTCACAGATTCTCTTTAAATGAATCGTCCATCTGTTAAACATTATTTTCAGCTATACACTGTGCACACATGTGTACACACTGCTGAGATAAATGAACCTCCCCTGTGGCAACACTGTGGGGTTTTCTAAACTACTACTAAACTGATTGTTTCAAGCCTGTTTAATTATGTGTAACATTTTTTGTCTCATTCTTATTAAATTTTTTTACAACTAAACAGGCTCATTTCATCTTTTTTTCCTTCTACTTAATGACTAATGCACTTTGTGACCAGAAATGTAAGGTCAAACTGTATTTTCTACAGCTGTTTCCCTTGCATTTGTCTTGCCTCGGTTGCCTCTTCCTGAGGCACAGCTGTATTTTCTCATCCCAACCTCAATAAATTGTGCTTATGCTGTTGATACGGTGTTCAGCAGCTTCAGATAGCATTCCTACTTGCCTTTCCTTGGAGTTCGATCATCACTCAGTCCTCTTCTTATACATGTTTTTCTTTTTAGTTGTTCCATTCCAGTCCAATACAACTTTACTTATAAAGCACATTTTAAAACAACCAGGTTGACCAAGTGCTGTGCATTGACATGAATCAATCTTTTTTTAGTCATGGTTCAAAATCTGTAAGGCTGGGGGCCAGCTTGACATGAAGAGGCAACTGAGAACGTTCAATCCCCCCTGTTCTTCAGCTGACCTTGATCCTGTTAGAACTGTGCTCAGAATTATGTTTGTCAGTTTAAGTCAAGAAAGTTGCAGCTTGTTGTAAATCAGTAAAGTTAAATGTCGTTTTGTGTGAAAACATCTCTCGTCTCTACACAATATACGTCACGCACATGTTAACGCGGGTAATGCTAGCTAACGTACATTGCTTGGTTGCTGCCAATTAGATAACTTTATGAAAACTTTTCTCTTTTTAAATTGGTTTTCAGATTTGGTGGTGCCATTGGTGCACTATTGCCATTTTAAATGCAAGCCAGATCACACACACAGACACACACACACACACACACACACACACACAGTGGGCATCTCCACAAGGTATGGTATCATAAATTGTTATTGAAAGGTTGGTGACATCAGCATATCAGCACATGGCTGCCCCTCCTGCTGGAATATAAAGAGATGATGAAACAAGTGATGAAGTGAAACTTACAGAGACAGAGAAGCCAGACGCTCAGAAGTGCATCCACTTCATAGAGCAGGTGAGAACTCGCTCAGAGATAACACATTCCTCTGTCTTTTAGTCTCACTACAGTAATTGATTGTGTCATTGGGTTGTCCTTTCACACCCAGAGGGAGAGAAGGATCTCCTGTGATTCAGTCATCATTCCTGCACCTGTTCAGCTCCTGGGGGTTTTACTGGGAGATAGTGAAGTATCCAGTGAACTGTTCTGCAGCTCACCTGTAAAACAAGAAATCTTCCAAACGGTAAGTCTTCAATGTTCAATTTGTAATGCTTTGAATTAAGTTCCAAAATCAGTTGAAATATTTTTTGGGATATTAACTGATGCCAAAGTAGAGTCAGGAATTCAATTTAAACTGTCTGCTGAGATTAGATTAAACCCCCTTCAGAAGAAAGTTATATTTAAAAGAGAGATCCAAAGTGCAGACTGCATGATGTGCATGTTGCATTAGCTGTGATCCTTGTTCCTTGATCCTTTGTCTGGCACAGTTTAGCCATCTTTGCTGCAAATTATTTGTGGTATCATTTTAAAGCGAACGTGTCAGCGATGTGATGAATACAATTACAGTTCTTAAAATGACTTTAGAACAAGCAATTCAGCAAGTTTCCCTGATTTGACTCTGTTAGAGACAGTTATGTCTGCGATGGAAATCTATGACATTTTACTCTGTGAATTCAAAATGAAACTGTTTGTAATTTCTTTTATTAATCGAGAGCTCGGATCAATCCAGTATTTGTATTTCCTGTATGTGTCACCTCAGATGGTCCGTTTGATGCTATATTTAGAACAGAGAGGGAAGCAACTAAGTACATGTACTCAAGTACTGTACTTGAGTATTATAATTTTGAGTTACTTCCATTTTCTACTACTTTATACTTCTACTCCGCTACAATTCAGATGCAAATACTATACTTTTTACACCAATACATTTATTTGATAACTTTAGTAACAAGTGACTTTGCAGATTTAGATACAAAATATAATCAACAAAAAAATGTGAATAGGTTAACACATTAATGTATCAATAATTTTAATCCAATAATATAATATACATTATTCAGAAATGGGCCATTCTGAATACTCCAACTTTTGATAATTCAAGTATATATTGATGCTAATACTTTTTAAAACATTGAATGCAGGACTTAAGCTTGCAGAGTATTTGAGTACTGTAGCACTGTGGTATTAAACAAAGTATTTTTACACTGTGGTATTTCTACTTTTGCTTACTTCCACCACTGATTCTGTTTTTTTCACTCCAGGTCGAGCTGCGATGAGGGTGTGTGCAGTGCTCTGTGCTGTCTTTCTGTTGCTGAGCCAAGCTCTAAGTGGATCTCATCGAGACGGTTCCATGATAATCAGAAGTAAAAGATCCCCTAATTAATAACACAAAATTATATGGACCTAATACCTAAAGTGTTTATGTAAAATTAACATGAATAAGACATTATGAAACAAATAAAGATACAAATTAATACAGACAAAATACATAACCATGAAATTTTACCATAATCCAAAACATTTTAAAACATTTAAGACTTATTATAATGAAATGTTGTTTTATGCAGCTTCTTTTAACATTACTAGAGTTTGTTGATGGCCATTTTTATTTAATTCCTGCAGTTTATATTTTGTTTTACTTTATAATGCCACTTTTCATCGGCAAGTCTTTGTTTGTCAATCAAGACAAAAAGCCAGTTACGTTACTGGCTGCCAACCAATCATAACTTTGCCCATTTAACAATTATTATTGATTTATTTACTAAGTAAAACAACCACTGGGGGAGATGGTATTGTTTAAAAAAAGCTGGAATTAAATAGAAATTACCTATGATAAATAAATGATTGTGAAATTAAAGAAATTAAATACTAAAAATCTAAATAAATAAAATATCACTTCAACATAATGTGTCGGGTTTTAAAAATGTATTCTTTCAGAATTGCAAGGCTATATTATACTTTTTGTTTATATTTGTTCAAATTATTATTTATTTATTATGTCTTACTTATTATTTAATTTTGAACATTTTGGGCCTCCATACAACAACAGGGATAACTTTACCAACGTATTTTCAATGCTGAGAGTGCCACACACATTTACATGACTAGAAATCACAAGGGTTAACGAGAAGATGGATTTGTTTTAGGATTGTGAAATTTGGGTGAACTGACCTTGTGCTTCTTGTCAGCATATTAGTGGGTCAAATTGTATGTCAATTTATTTAAATTTTAATAGCAGGATACAGCATTGTTATAATCTTGTTTTAAGGGGTGAAGCTCAAATTATTTCAGCCCTGGTATTGACTGCCATTGCTGGTTAGCATAATATAGACAATTCATGAGACTTACACATGATGAAATGCCTGTGTTGTCCAGATCCAAATATCGATGCCTCCTGGTATAGAGGCAGAGGGATCAGGCCGGTGGGGAGATTTGGCCGGCAAGTTGCAAGAAGAAATGAGCATCTGGCTTTCATTAGAGCCAGAGTTTACAGACCAGCAGCTGACAGTGACAGCAGTGTTTGGATCATACTGTAAGAACGCAATGGATGATTGAATATCTATTGTGTTCTCATTTTTCAATTTTCACATTGCTTTTGTTCTGTTGCAGGGTTGTATTATGGATTTACACTTTGATTTAGGAGTTTTCTAACATACTGTTTGAGTTATTTTCTACAAATTGTGTGTGCATTATTTGAGTTGTTTTCTTGAATACGAAAGACATAACAAACATGCTTTTATGTCCATGAAAATGTGTTGTATTTTGCCCTGTAAAGTACTTCATATGCAATATTATATGAACTACATTGAGAATAAAGTCAGAACGCAATATTATATGTTTGAATTCCTTAGTTTTAAGAGAAACTCCACGTTGGACATAGTGGGAGGAAAAGCACTGACCTCTATTGGTGATATCCAGTACACCCAGCTGGGATGTACCTTTGCATGTGCAATGTGAAGATTTAAGAGAAAAGTAAAGTGTTGTAGTTGAATTAATGTATTAGGTAAAATAAATTCAATGTGATTATGTTTTTGATTTTGAGGCAAATATTTAATTAAATTTCAAATAAAAATGTTTGTAATAAAATCCACCCATTGTAGTAAAATAAAACATAAGCATTATATTTATCTAATCCCAAATAGAGAGAATATTGAGTGAATTCAAATTAATGTAATCAGGTAAATTTTAATTGAAAAGCACTTCCTGTCAAGAATTCCCATGATGCATGGCGGTGAAGGGAGTTTTGTTAAAATTAGCTGTGTAGATGATTAATACTCGATTATATATCATTGATATATATAATTCAATTTATATTTATTAGTGCTATTTACACATTAGGGAGTTTATCTTTTTCAAATCAATTCAGTATTTTTGTTTAGGTTGTAATTAATTCGGTACTGTTTTCTATTTGAATCTACTCATATTAAATGGCTAACTATTAAGGGTCTCATTTAAATAATATTTACTCAATACCAAACATTGTGAAATTTAATTAATAATATTGCTTGTAATCTGTTGCCTCATTTTTATTGAGTAGATATGGTGTATCTTTTCTTACAGTGATCTCTAAATATGTATTATACAAATTCTCATCATTGTTTTGCAGCTGAATGGCTGTGTATGGAAAGACATCTTTCTGGTTCAAAGTGCATCACATGACCTGCATTTCAACTGTGGCCACCACACCAATGGACACATCAGACATACTTTTCATTCACTAGGCTTGCTAGCTTTGCTTCTTCTATTGTAAAACATCTCCTGTATAACGTCCCAGCTCCCCCTTAAAATGTGATTTTTGTGTTTCATCCTTCATGTATATACCTATATATTCATAAACTATTAAATCCAATTTTGAAAATCACATTTAAGGAACCCTTCAATACATACTTCTTACCGATTGTGCTACCTCACTACAGCATTTCACAGCTTCATAGTCAGATATCATTTAAATTCAATTGAATCAAGAATGAAGTATAGTTAACTTCACTCTGCATTTGTCTATTGATTCTTCATACACAGTTCATCATTGGTTTATCCACAGTTGAAAATGAAGAAAGTCTTGACTGAGACCACTTGCGCAACATCTGCAAAATCTGAAACAGCAGTGCTGAAAAGGTTTTTATTCACAAGATTTATACTGTCTTTATGATAACTAAATCATATTTTATTTTTTATTTTCACTCCATTTCATCTGCTCAGTGTGAGTTGTTTCTTTGTTTCTGTGAGGCATCCAAACCAAACGAGGACCAGCAGCCCCTCAGGCCTCACAGAAGCTTGGTTTCAATCAGCACAATAAAGCTTTGTTTCAGTGAGGATTTATCAGCAAAGATCTCAGCAGTGTTTTAAATCACTATGCAGTAAAAGTCCTCTCTTGGAGGCATCAGTTCTTCTCTGCAGCCACCTGCAGAGAAGAACTCCAAACATGAGAGAATATTGTGCAAAGACCAAGTGACTGACTGAAGGGCAGAAAAGTCACTTATATGGAGTTTTTTTAAATGGTCAAATGCAAATAGAAATACTACTTATGTCAGTAGAGTCCTTTAAATCCTGATGGTATTAAAGTATAGGGGCAATATTTGTATTTTTTATGATTATGGTTGTCATTCATAGTAAATATGATCCAAAAAACATCATTCAACAATCATTTTGCTTTACAACTAATTATACAAAAAAAAAAACTGGTCTATGTTGTTTAGCCTAGCTTAGAATAACAACTCAACAGCTACCTTTCTCTGTCCAAGATTTTACTTTAAATAGACAAAAGACCCCTTGTAGCAGTACATGTTTTATCTCTTTTGTTTAATATGTACAAAAGCAGTTTCTGTACTAGTCAAACAAAGTTGATACAGTGTGTTAGTTACTGAGCTTTACAGGTGTGTGTAGTTTTTTTAACTTTGGACAGAGCCAAGGTAGCCGTTTCCCCCTGCTTCATTTTTATGTTAAGCTAGGATATGCATTAGCTTGATAATCAGACTGAATTGCCATTTTGTTTTATTTAATTCATTCAGTTTGGATCTCTGACCAAATAAATAATGCACAGACATAAAACTGATTTTAAATATCTCATCTTACTCAGAAAGTAAATAAGCATATTGTCCAAAAAGTTAAACTATTTCTTTATAAACAACAATCTCACTGGCTCAGTTAACCATTGTGAAGTTGTCAGAACTCAAGAGCCAACAGCAAGACAAAGAGTGATACCTGGTAAAAATACATGCAGAAGGTTAGGACAACTGGCTCTCCGATCTGCATGTCGAAGTGTCCTTGGGCAAGACACTGAACCCCAAATTGCTCCTCTGCTCAATGTGTGTGAAAAGGATGACTGTGATGTAGTTTAAAGCACTTTAAGCGGTCAGAAAGACTTAAATGGCGTGATTAATTAACACAGTCCATTTACCATATCACATTTAGGTACCACTTTCAGTTGGGTACTTCAGTGACTCTTCCCGTCAAGGTACAAATGAAATCATTTTTGACTCCAGACCAGCAGAATGCAGCATGTTGTGGCACGGTGGAAAATGCTTTCAAAATTTAGACAGTCAAAATCCTTTTCCTAATTATTATCTTTTATTAGGCATGCTAAGGTTGAGCTACACTCAACCAAACGCTATTTGGAGGATCATCACTGAGGAAAATCATTACAACAAATGGAACTCCTGGGCATAGATCCCTGTAAAGTAGACCTGTAACTCAAAAACCAGGGACTTGTCCTGCATGAACAATAGTGAATAGTTTTTAGCCTCCATTACGTATTGATTGTATTCCTTGGCTAATCTCATCACCACAATGCATGTTGCATAATGAATGCAGTGTTGTGCATTTGTTAGTATGGTCAGAAGTAAAAAAGGCAGAGAACCACATATTCGTGATGTTTATTCAATTTGAAACGTTTTGATCCCATGTTACCTGCAGCTTTAAAATTATGACGACAGACAGAGAAACACGGAAAGGCAGCGATACAATTGCCAGTAACAGAGGTTAGGGTCCTACTTTGCAGCAGGATGCAAAAGGATTGAGTGTGTCTCTGTGACGCAGATCCACAAGTGGTGTTTCCTGCCACTCTGGTAGACCTCCCTGCTGCGCTCCAACACACTCGTACACTCTGTGGGCTGAACCAGAGCTCTGTTACCAAAGACATCACACTCACAGTTGTGTTGCAGGAGCATGCAGACATTTTAGAGGCCAGGATTTAAGTTAAAAAACTGGCACCCCAGACCTATACTTAGTATTTTATAGTTTTCATACTTACAATAATTGTGTTTAGATTGACGGTGAGAAAATACATTTGCGGCTCATGTTGGTATCTACTGCTCTCTAGTGGAAGATGAGTGCCCTTTCTTTATTCCCAGAGATTAGTCAGTCATGCAGACACTCTTTTGTAAAAATTCAGCTTCTCCTAGTAAGATTGACAACAGCCTTAACCCTCACGGTCTATATTTGAAAGCATCTGATTGGTGGGACTAGCAGCAAACGTGAAAGAAATTAAATAAAAGTGCCCAAACATCTTATTCATTGCATTTTCTTCAACACCTTTACTTACCTACAGCTACCAGCAACTCGCTGATTTGTTCCCCTGACAGGGCTGATGTCTCTGTAAAGAATAAGCCCCTGTCATTGGACAGAGTCTGTCCTTCCTGTATGACGACATAAAGAGACCAGAAATTGCATGTCATAGAGTAACACATAATGTAGATGTGAGATTTAGGAAGGTGATTTTTTTCGGTCTGTACCTGCACTGAGACTTGTCGATCCTGTGCCAGATCTCCCTTGTTGCCTACCAGCCATATGACAGTAGATCCTGGGGTGTACTGTTTCTCAAGCTCTTTGAGCCACAATTGAGCTCTGATAAATGTTTCCTGTAGCGACACAAGCATTGAGGATACACGATAGCATATGCACCAGCCGAGATAAGACAAGATAAGTTCCTTTTACCTTTTTGCTGATATCATAGACCAAGAGTGCAGCATGGGCTCCTCTGTAGTAAAGTGGTGTGACACTGTGGTATTTTTCCTGCCCTGCTGTGTCCCATATCTCAAAACGAAGAGTGACATCTCTGAGATGCACCACCCGGGTCAGGTAGGCACCTGAGGGGGCAGACAGCACAATGACACCAAAGGGGATCATTTACTCACTACTGAGTCTTTAGAGATGGTCCTCCTGGCTGGATATTTACAATATAGCAAGTGACAGAAAGTTCCAGTGCCAGTTATGTGTCAAAGTAATATATTCTACCAGTATCAAACTATGATGAATGACAAAAATTAAAGTTTGAAATTTCCGGAAGTAAGTAAGTCACAGTTAGAAGAGAAGATTAATACCACTCTCATGTCTGTACGTTATTTAGGCCTAGAGACGTCAGTGTAGCTTGGTATAAGGACTGGAAACAAGGGGAACAGCTAGCCTGGCTCTGTCTAAGGGTAACAAAATATGCCTAACAGCTCCAATAAAGCTCACTAATGAGCATGTTATATCTTGTTTCTTGTCTTCAAACCACTAAAAGCACTTTACAATACACGTCACATTTCTACACAGATGACAGAGGCTACCATGCAAAGAATGGCTCCTCAGAATGGAACTAACATTCATACACACTCACACTCACATTCACACACCGATGGTACGGCCATCAGGGGCATACTGGGGTTCAGTATCTTGCCCTAGGACACTTTGACGTGCAGACTGGAGGACCCACTGACCCACTAATTAATGAATGACCAGCTCTACCTCCTAAACCCTGATAATCCACCGTGGAACTCCCTGTAAAACCCCAAATTGTCATTTTTACACTTTGATTTTTGTATGGATTAAAGAGATTGGTTTTGTTTATTAGTCATGTTTAGAAGTGCAAGTAGGCAATTTGTTTTCTTCAGGCAGAGCCACGCTGGCTGTCTCCCCCACCCCTCCAGACTTTATGTTAAGCTACACTTACTGACAGTAGCTTTTTTTTTATTTACTTTACAGACATGAGAGTGGTGTAGATTTCTTACAAAACTATTCCTTCAAATTATATCTTCATCTTATAAAATTTCACTCTGATATGTAACATCTGCATATCCAAAGTTCCAAACGTGACATGAACTCACAGCCTACTGTAGGTGATGTACGCCGGAACTCATCCTTGCCAAATCGTAGTGCCAGACTGGACTTTCCCACACCAGAGCTCCCCAGAAGTACCATCTTAACCCTGAGGGTCTGGTACTGAGGTACTGGTCTAATCAAACTGTTACTGTGGAGCTGGGCTCCTCCTGGCACCCTCAGGAGATTTTCCCCCATCAAAAGTTCAATTATTAACTCCAAAAGAGTGAGAGAATACAGGTGGGCAAGACAGAAAAAGTCCAAAAGTCCTGATCCAGTAGTCAGCCTTTCTCCTGTTAAGAAGCAGCAGTTGCCACACTACAGCTGCAAACTGTACAGAGGAGTTAATGTGTCATCTCCGTTGTAAGACTCTGCAGCTGTGCCAGTATCACCTTAGTTTTCAGAAAATAAAAGTAAAACCAAAGTCCAGTCGTAACTTGTAAAAGGCTAACAAAACAGCTATAATACTTTCACTTCCTTGTAGACACACATTACTGGGCCATAAAACCTCCCAGCCAATCACATGCACACTCAACTACTGTCTTTGTGCTCATTAGATCTCACACGGGACGACTATATGTGTTAGATCAATGGCCATGTTTACTGTAAGTTACAAGTGGGAAGTTTTTAAGGTATGCTGTACAAACAAACAGAAACTGTTTGAGTTATGGGAAAATTTGGGGGGTTTGCCCCTTCTACCTAACATTGTTCAACTGCTACATGTCAGATACAAACAGAAACTGTGATCAGTTTCATTGGAATATACTTATGTATGCACACAGTTTAAACATCGAATGTTAAAACCATTGTTACTTCACACAGCATGCTTGTGATATTAATTACTTGTATCAACACAAATATCATAAGACACAGAAATCTCCATCTCGTCTCTAAATGTCCCCTTCGTTGTGTATGTACTGTATGTTATAGGCTACACAGAGAGTCTGCATTTTATTCCAGTGTATCTCCTTGCATGATCATGTATCAACACAGGAGGGCGGCATTGCATATACTACAGCCTTGTGGTAATAATACCAAGCACTGACTGTGAAGCTGATTAAGAATATACACACATTGACACACACAGATGTTTATTTTGTTAGACCTTAACATGTAGATATTGTTTTAGTGTTTATTAAGTACACTGTTCTAGCAGTAAGTTTGTTCTAGTAGACACATTTACACACACACACACACACACACACACACACACACACACACACACACACACACACAGGAGTCGATCAGACATAGTCTGTTACAGAGAGAGAGAAACAATGTTTATTTTTTTCAATAGACCTGTTTTGAAGCGTATCATATGGTGTGGCATCCATTTTTTGCTTCTTTTGTCTAATTGTTACAACTTACCCCAGCATGTGTTAAAACCTACCCCGTTACTGGGGTAGGTTGTGACAAAATCTTATATGACATGAACTCACGAGGTCTGTGAAAGTCTTGTAAAGGATTGAGCTGGTGCCATTTGTAGTGAACAAATGTGGGTAGGCCTACTTTCTATAAAGGTTAGGGAACTCTAGCAAAAAAATTCTGTGAGTTATAGTTGCTGAAGCATTAAGTGCTACAATCATACCCGGTCTCCCCTACTTCATATAGAATTGATGAATGAATAAGAAATACAACACTACAATTAAACTGCATCTGAATTCCATCGTCGTTGATGTGACAGTAATTTGACATTAGACTTAGTTGGAGACGCACAGGAAAAGGTTCCAAATGATACAACAATTATACCACAAGATTAAAAAAAGGATCTAATGAGGTCACTATCATCTCAACATAGACTATCCCAGATACACTGTCCTGGATCATTACGTCAAAATTTTGGGATCTAGGGTGTGCCCATTCTATCGCTTTAACAAAAACTCACGACTGTTTTTAGAGCTCTCTGGTCATCATTAAAAATAGCAGAGGGGGTGTGAGAGAGTGCGATAGCCCATGCAGGGCCTGTGGTTTCTGGCTGAAACTGAAACCTGGCCTGAACATGTATGGACACTCCGTCCAGGGGTTGATGCTGCGTTCAGTGTTCTCTGGGCACTGGATTTTCACACATTTTACAACTATAGAAATTACAAGTAGAAAATTATTGCTTGTATTGGTTGAACTTTAAGGCTAGAAATTAGCCCTATCTTGGTTTTTGATTATGTAAAGGAACACATTTTCTAACCCCCCCGTACAAATCAAACAAAACAAACCCACTGTCCCCTTTTTTATTAATTAATTAATTAACCAAAAGGGTATATCCGAATAGCTCTACTGCTTGAAATGTGATACAAGATGAAGTGTAGGCTAAAGAAAGTGCAGGATAATCACTTCTGCAAGTGTGAGTAGCCTACGGCACAGTTGCACCAAACAACGATTCAGTATTGATTAGGTGATTCAGATTTCGTGTAAATGTTCTGCCTTGGTGTGGTTAATTGCCAAAAATAAACCTGCTTTTTCATTGTAACCCACATGTCCGACATCACGTGAAGGCAGCTTGATTTAGTACAGGCTTTGAAGTTCGTCAGTGTGACAGGCTCGAGTCTGTTTCTGTGAATCCGTCTGGTGGCGGTGGCATACTGCGGCCAGCTTGACCCGAGGCCGTTAGTCTGGCCATAATTAATGTATGTGCATATTTTTGAAATGTCAGTTTTATGCTCATAGAATGACAGACAGGGTAATGGACGCGATTTTAAAAAAGGACAGAGTGAAGCTACAGTGAACGTCTCTGACTGAATTTGCTAGTAAACGCATCAGCAGCAGCGCACGTGGGGCAGATGCTGCTAGAGTCACCGACCGTGTCTGAAGCAGACTTCGTCGCGAGTGTGTGCGTCGTTACAGAAACACAGGAAGAAGTGTAAAAAACGGATGTATGACAATGACCCATGTTGCGAACGCGACCAGCCGCGGGTTGTTTTATCTCCTCGTGTTTCACTTAACATTTTAGCGACACATGAGAACAGGCTAGCTCGCTGCTGCTCTGTTTGGAGTATTCGGTGCGCTGTTGGGAGCACAAGTGTGAATTTATCTTCAGCGAGTGGATACGCGCCTGAGACAACATGGGGACTCAGGGCACAGGACGGAAAAGATCTACCAAGAAGGAGAGGTCGACGGCAGAGGACGATGCCCTAAATCTCATAGCGAGAGAGGTGAGTGGAGCATTTGTGAAACGTTAAATGAGTCGTCCCTGTCAGGTCTGAAATGAGTGACAAAAGAGTCTATGGACTGGTCTTCCTCCTCAGCCTTTCTACAGACCCGCATCCCACGGCCCTATATAACATATGACCCCAAAACCTACATACTGACAGATGTGTTTCTTGAAGGCTAGTCCCGATATGTTTGTTGCCAGAGAGTTTCAACTTTCCAAAATCATAATTTATCCAGAATGTTTACCTCCGTAAGAAAAAGAAGACATTTAAAGCACTCAGTCCTCTCTGAGAAATAATAGCTTTAACACTGTAACTAGTTAAACTCTAAATATCATCACTGCTTCTAAATACATCCTATTGGATATATTTTGTCCATTTTCCAAAGTAAACCGGAGGTTTTTTGAATTGATTTCCTACTTCCCGGACACCCATCTTTTATGTCAATACAGAATGAAAATGAAGTTGTAGAGACTTGAAGCATACTTAATATCAAGTACAGTAGGTAAAATTATGTTGCCTGGTAACAAAGTTTTAAGTAGGGTGTGTTTGAGAAACTCTACTTTGGTTGGTCTATTCAATCCAACACATGAGAGTTTGCCTGCAGAAAAGCATTTCATTCACAAGCTGAAGAAGATAGGTGTTTCCTGTGCACAAGTGCATGTCCATGGGATACCAACATAACTTGAACAAATTCAAGATTTGAACAAACAATATGGAAAAGTTGTCAAAACATTACTGTAATGTAAATTTTGCACTTAGACTTTAAATTCTGGTAATGATGATCTATTTAAAATAGTTTATAGTATAATATGTATAGTAAATAAGCATTTCATGTGCTTACCTGCAGGAATTGTTGGGCTACCCTTCAATAATGCAAGACGTAGGTTGGCAGCTGTTACACACAGTTGTTTACAACAGGTGCTGAAGTCATGTTGTGACAGGTTGACTCTCTTTGAAGATTTCTAATCTCTTTATTATGGGGAGTCTATTGTAGGATAAAATTATGTTTAGTGTTAGGAATAATACCTAGTGTGTCTTCAGGACTTAAGTCACCAAACTATTTGAAGTGTGCTACCCTGCAAGCGTTTGTCTACAGCTGAGGTGTGAAATGCAATATTTGAGTTTAATATCAAACAAAAATGCCATCTGTCTAAAACAAACACACAGCAAAGCCTGACATTTACTGTCATGCTGCAACATTGTGCATCTTTCATCTGTTGTCATTTTATATTTGTGAAATCCTGAGCAATGAACATTAGATGTTTTTTTTTCCTGTCTGTAATGCTGTGAGGTGGTGAGTATAAAACCTGATCTCTGCCTTCATAGCCATTTCCCCTGATTCAGGGCCGCTTTGACAGTCTTTCTTCAGTTGGGCGGAAGTTGGGTCTGTGCTAACCCGACCCCGGATGTTTCAGCAAATTTGCATGTCACCGTTAACCAAAGTACACACTATTGTCATCACTTTTTAACTGTGAATGGCCCTGGTACTAATGCCAAGCCTGCAGACGTCTCTTCTGTTAAGTGCTTAGCTGACTGTTTACACTGCAGTGGTGTATCTGAGGTTGCACATTCCTGTAGCTGGCAATCATTTCTTGTTGTTGTCTTATTTGCAGTAGCAGGAAGGTTACCCAGCCGAGGTTCGTGGAGAGGGAGCTAAAGAGTTTGAGTTCATGCACAATTAGTCAGCAGATACACAATAACCAAATAGGAGACTCTCTGATGAATCAATACTCATCTGTTTCTTGTGTTTTTGAGGCCCAACTCCAACACTAAAACAGCAATTGTGTTTTTTCTCCCACATCTGTGCAGCAAAGAGAGTCTGTGCCTTTAAGTAGCGGAGGGGTCACATCCCTCACTGGCAGTCCTCTGACGGGATGGTATGTCAGTCTTGATGAGTTGGCCCGTTCTGCAAAAGAGTTTTAAAAATAGATGCTCCTGAAGATCAGCTGTTGCTGCACCCTAGTTTAGACTGGATCTGTGGGTGGGGGATGGGGATAGTGGAAGAGGGAAGTGGCTCATCAAGTGGCCATCCCACCAGCATGGAAACATGGAAACAGCAAGTAGCTGCATGGAATTGTTAGGCACAAAGAGTTAATCTGTATAAAGTAGAAGGTTGGGGACGCTGGTAGCTGAAGCTGCTGTGGAAATGGCCCATCAGTATCATGTTGCTGTACATTTCTGTACTCCCTTTAGTATCACAGGGTTCAGAGAAACTGTCAGTACTGTAGACCTGACTTTTGTCAGACGTTTTTGACATTTCCCTCTTTCCAGAACTTTTCCAAGCACACTATTGGATGATAACTACAAATATGTCATGTATGTCTGACCCCAAACACAGCTGTCCGCTCCCATTGCAGGAAAAAGTAACTTGGAGAAAGATACCGATAAACTCCTTTTGCTGAAAACTGTGAAAGTGGTGAGCAAAAAACTAGGTCCCCCCTTAATGGGGATTGTCTAAATAGTGAAATCTCCTGTTGGCCCACAGCCTATAAAGACCGCAGTATTTGTTATCGCACTGCAGTCACACACACAAACACACACACACACACACACACACACACGTAGCAAAGTCAGCGAACAGCAGAGCAGAGGGGCCCCTGTAGAGACAGCGAAGTGAAGATAACTCGAGTTGACGACAGCAACGCTCGTTACTGTAAGTGCAATAAAGCCTTGAGTAAAAAGCCAATACTTTATTAATATATGCATGTTCAACAAGCATACACATGTATACAAGCTATATTTAACGTGCTCAGTTTGCAGTCTCTCATCCACCACTGCTATGTTTTACACAAGCACAGCATGCCAGCGCGGCTAATAGCGAATTGTTACAAACTAGCGAAAACAAAAGCTGTCTGTCTGGAGTTTCAAGCCCTGGATATACTCACTTTTTAACAATACGTAGGCGTAGACAGGCGTCAGCGACGCAAACGGCATTGTTTACACACTTGCCTGCGTACATTGCGTGTACCTGGAGGATTAAACCTGAATCCACTAGGGGGCAGATCAGGGCCGGATCATCCCTCACCAACACCGGATTATCTTCCTTGACAGTCTACGAATTTGCACATCGTAAACAAAGCAAACACAGTGACACTCAAGCAGGTTGTGATTTTAATGAACGATCTCGGTAATTGCGGACTAGCTCCAGGAGTTTTATCGTAAACATCCCGCCATGAATTTCCATTTTTAAAGTCTGCTGCTGACTTTCTTCTTTTGCGTTTAATGACAGTTGGCAAACCAACTTCATACCGCCACCACCCGGGCTGGTGTGTGGAAAGGTAGACAGCTGCTGACCTGCTGGTCAGATCAACATAGTGCTGAATTCCATCTCGCGGACGCATCGCGTTAATTTCTGGAGATGTGCACAACCTACGCTCCAAAGGAACGCAAGATACGCATGGCAGCCATCTTGCGAATGCGTAGTTAAAAGCAAGCATATCCAGGGCTTTACTGTTCAGCTTAGTTTGCGGTAACGTTACTTTCAGCACTTACACAGCAGGACATCTCTTCCATTGCTTGTTTGCTTGTGTTTTGGTTCCAGGAAAAATATGTTCATGTTTGTTGAACCAGTCTGCGCCAACTGCAGCTTTTGATTTTGGTGGTTTACCAACCAGTTCATCATCAAAGCCCTGAGGACAAGAGGACAATTTGGTAAAAGGATTAATCAAATCCCCACATGCTAGATGTAGCTGTGGGGGATTTTGGCTGGTTTCTGTTCTGTATATCAGTCCATCACAGTGCAAAGCACAGTGTGCCGTCATTTCCTTTTAGTGTGACATCATCATATTAATTATCACAGTAATGATAACTGTCTTAGCCTTCTCCTGGTAAAGTGTCTGATAAAGGTTCAGTCCCAGTTTGAATTACACCCAAAGATCACACCTAGCTTATGTATCATAGTGTAAATCTCTGAGTTCGTTCGTATAGGGCCCTATCGTTTCCACAATGTGGAAAATATGGACGGAATCGCAGAATTTGATAATAAAAATGGAATCAACTGTAAAATACTTATGAATTTTGTTTAAACTAACTCAATAGCACCCTTAATAAATGACTAGTAGTTTAAGAGTTATCTTCCTAAATGTCTCCCAAGTGTTTGAAAGTCAAAACAAGTGTTCATATCTGTCTTAGGGCTGACCCAGTCGAAGATTTGATGCTTCGATGGGCGGTGCCTGATTCGACTGTCAGTCTCAGTCGAATCTTCGCAGTGGCGTTATGAAAGTAAGGTCATACCGTTTTGGCAATATGGGGGAGCTCAGTGTCTTATTTTACATAGAACTACTGGCTTTCTCCCAATAAGTTCATATACATCCTATTATGCCTATCATGTCTAACCTATTCAATTTCAACACATAATGCTGTAAATAAAAATGTGAAAAGAACAAAGCTTTTGATAAATGTTTTTAAAGAGCATGAATAAATCCAAAATTTTAACCCTTAAGGTAGGAGACGCCGGTGCGCTTCAGCGGGTGTGCGTGGGTGGCAGACGAGGAAGAGAGACCATGAGCTGTGCCGGTGTTGTGCCGAGTTGTCGGCACCTCGCGGGAAGTTCGGATCATTTATAATAATAATAATCTTTATTTGTAGAGCACTTTTCAAAAACAAGTTACAAAGTACTTTAACAAGTGTAAAGACAATAATACCCAAAAAACAATACAAGATAAAAGCAAGAAAAAAGTAAAAGGGATGAAATAAAGTCAAATAAGATCAGGAAAGGCTCTCCTATAAAAGTATGTTTTAAGAAGGGACTTAAAAGAGTTCACTGACTCAGCTGACCTGATTTCCTCGGGCAGGCTGTTCCAGAGCCTCGGGGCCCTGACATTTATTTATTTACCTTCAGGGTTAACCCTGGGTTTTCAGTCCTACAGCAGTGGTTCACTTCTTACCGAGGTAGATCGCCATGGTAACTTATGCTGTACAGCTGACCTGCTCCAGAGTAGGTTATGTTCCAGATAAGAGAACTTTAGAGAACATCATGGCAGCCAGCAGTTTTAGTTCAT